CTGTGGTGGCAGCGGGGCCGCCCGTCCCTGGCCGTGTCCACGCAGCTCTCGAGGAACAGCGGGGCTCGTTTTACACCTCTGCCCAGCCTGAGCTCGGCACCATCCACCTGCTCATTCTCTTGGCCCCTTTCCAATGGCAGCGGTGACCCTTCCTTTGCCAGACAGCCAGGCCCTGTTCAGGGGTGGGGAAAGGCTGCCTGTCCCCAGGCTGGGACTGTGCCCGAAGGCACGGGACATGTGTCCCGGGCTCCCGCAGGGCTGCGCGCTCCCAGCCGGCAGAGCGCCATGTCTCCCTCTCCTCTCCTGAGCGTGGCTGAAAGCCGCTCACCGGCTGCGCTAATAAATGGGCACAGCGGGACACAAAGAGCTCTGGCAGCTGCCCCGGGCTGCGCAGGGCTGGCCGGGGCTGGGCTCACCGCCGGTGCCGGTGCCGGTGCCCGCCCGAGCCAGCCCGCCGGCAGGGAAGCACGCCGGCAGCTGTGCCCACAGCTGTGCCCACAGCTGGATCTCCTGGCCAGGCTGGCGCCCTGGGGCAAGGTTGTCCTCCCGAAGCTAGGGATGCAGGCTCTCGCATCGCTGTCGGTGTACGCTTTCCCTTTTCCCCTGGGAGAAGCCGGTCATTAGGCTCTTATCCAGTGAAAGTGTGGGGGTTTTGAAGAAGAGGTAGTATTCGTTTCTTTTAAGTTGATGAAATGTGCTTGAAATAATTACATTTTTGTACTTAGCACTTCTCAGCCCAGGGCATTAGAGTGATTTACAAGCAATTATGAAGCCTGCTGGGAAGATGCTTTTATCCCCATTTTGCAGATAGGATGTGGAAAATAAAGGTTGAGGGCCTGTTCTTGCTCCTTGGCCATGGACATGGAGATCGCAGATGATTGCTGTCTCCGTGGAATTGGGGCACAGGCAGCAACAGGCACTGCCACCGGAGAGGAGATGTGCGAGTGCCGAGACACGGAACACTGGGCCGGGTGGCTGCCCGGGACTGTCATTTGCCCCTCAGGGAGGAGGGACACGGGGAGAACGGGGCGACACAGCGGTGCCAGGGAGATTTTGGCGAAGGACAGAATGTCCTGGAGCAGCTGGACTGGAGGAGGGTGGGAGCTGCTGAAGGCGAGGGGATGGAGAAAGATGGGGAGAGAGGTGGGGAGCCCCTCTGGCCGAGCTGCCGTGAGCGCGCCGAGCTCTCCCGGAGGCGGGACAGGATCTCTGCCCTCTCCGAGACGGGGCGGGAGCTCCGTCCCTCCCTCCCCGCGCCCCTGGGGAACGGGCTGTGCGCTGCTTCCAGCGGGGCGGCCCCGGGCCGAGCAGCCGCTCCGGACGGAGCCGGGGCGGCCGCGGGCGGAGCGGAGCGAGGCGCAGGCG